CTTTGCTGGAGTGTATCCAGGGCTTCATGCTCTGCTGTCCTATAGGCCATCAACAATGAAGGGAGTAAGACATCCCAGTAATATTGGCGGCTATTACAAAACTTTGCCAATCCCTGTCCCAGTGTCCAGTTGTACTTTTCTACCATCCCATCGGACTGTGGGTGAGGTGGCGTTGTCCTGGTCTTTCGGATGCCAAACAACTTGCAGCATTCTTGGAACACAGATGTGAATGCAGTTCATATGGCATACCAAATCTGAAGAAGAAATCACTAAAGCTGAAGCTGCAGTTGTAGCTTCCTGATTTGGTATTGCATATGCCTCAGGCCACTTGGTGAAATAGTCCATCACCACACAAATGTACTTGTTTTCAGCACGAGTTTGAGGCACAGGACCAGCAATGTCAATGACTACTCTTTCCATTGGTGCATCAACTTGATATAACTTCATTGGAGCACGTCCCTTATGCTTGGGTCCCCTTTTAGCACAACATGTACTACATGTTCTGCACTATTCTTCCACATCTTGTCTCATACCTATTCAGTAAAATCTCTGTCGTAGGTGACTCAATGTCTTCTTAACTCCGAGATGTACTCCTGTTAAACTATCATGGGATTGACGCAGCACAACTTCCCGTAACTTTCTCGGTATAACCGTTTGCCAGGTCGTCACTTTCCCATCTGCAGTTTCCCATCTCTGAAGAAGAATACCATCTTCAACCTTCAACTGGTCCCATTGTGCCCGATAGTTCTTTGTCACAGGGCTTAGACTAGACACATTCTCTCAAGCAGGGCGCAAAACACTTGCTTTTAGAAAATCAATTATTGGCTTCAAATCTTGGTCTTTTTCCTGTTCTGCTTTGATATCTATATTTGGTTCCACTTAACCATCATCAACTCTTTCAGTCGGCTTGACTTCAGCTTGATGGCACCTGGTTAGTTCAACCTCTCTTTTGAAGCAATGTCTGCAGTCACTTTTGCAGGATCTTCGGCTGAGTCCATCAGCATTACCATGAGATTTTCCCTCTCTGTATTCATTATCATAATTATACTGGTCTATCTTTCCAATCCAACGTGTCAGTTGTCCCTCTGGGTTCTTTAATGATCTTAACCAGCGTAACGCAGCATGATCTGTCCTGATGGTAAACCTTGCACCATAGAGGTAAGGATGGAAATATGTTAGACTCTTTACTATAGCAAGGAGTTCCCTCCGTGTTACACAGTAGTGTCTCTCTGGTCTACTCAAAACCCTACTGAAGTAGGCCACCACATGTCCGTTTTCGCCCACTTTCTGAGACAACACTCCTCCAATTCCGACATTACTAGCATCACAATCCAGTATGTACGGCAGTGAGGGATCTGGAAGCTTTAAAAGTGGAGCGGAGGCCAATTTTCTTTCAATG